GCTCAGCCGGCCGCCGGGCAGCAGGTCCCCACCTGCTGCCCGGCGGTCCACGGGGCCCAGCCTCCGCGCCGTACACATCGGCCCCGGTCAGACCAGAGGGCTAGACGCCCCTCAGCCGAGCCTCAGCGGAGCCCGAGGACTGGCGTGGCTCACGGACGTCTGCGTGCTCGTGGGACCGCCTCTCCTGTGAAGGACACCAGTCGTAAACCCCCTCGCTCTCTTTCTGCCCCCACTCCGTTCCCCCTCTCGAGTCTGCATCTCTCTCTGAGTCTGTCATCCATCTCTCTCTCCACCTCTTTGTCTCCATCTCTCTGTCTCTTTGTCTCTCTCACATGTCTCTGCCATCTCTCTGTCTCTCTCCCTCTCCACCTCTATCTCTGTCTCTGTCTCTCCCCCTGCCCCACACTCAAAATGCCAGGTCATCGCAAGTGCTATGTGCATCATTTAAAAGGGCCTGTGATGGAGAGGGACTCAGGCCTTCCTTTGACCGGGTGTCAACGGAGGTCACCCCGAGTGGTGACGTGGAAACAGCAGGTGGCACGAGTGGGAGGGTCCAGTGGGAAGGCCCAGGGAGGGCGATCTGGGCACACGAGACGGCAGGGTCAGGCTGTCTGTGGTGCAGGTAAACCTCAGAGCAGAAAGGATGGCAGGGAAACCAGAATGGACGTGAAGGGAGGCAGTTAGAAGCAGGAACGTTGGAAAAGACGGCAGAGGGTACGTGGCGCTTGCATTCCGAAGGAGGAATTTGGAATTTTATTCTAAATGACACAGGGAGCCCTTGGACAGGAAAGATAGGGCCTAATTTCTGTTTTACCAAGATTTTACAGTGTGTGTGAGTGTGAAGAGGAGGTCTCCGTTGGGGGTCCAAAGGTGGAGGCAGAGTCAGTGGAGCGGTCATCCTGGCCGCAGAGAGAGTGATGGGGTGTGAGGGAGGAGGGGTGACACCCGGCGGCTGCGGGCAGGTTTTGGAGGTGTCTGTGGAATAAAGGGGAAGATGAGGCTAAGAAAGTAAATTTATTTTTAAAAAGTAAGCTTTTTTTTTAACTAAATTTTTTCCTGACCACTTGGGTGATTAGCGGTGTCCTTCATTTAGGTGGCGAATCCAGGGACAGAGACCATCATGTGGAAGAGAAACTAAGAGTTCTGCTTTGACCGTTGAGTTTGAAATGCCTGTGAGACTCTCGAGTGACAGAAAGAGCAGAAGGAGATGGATGAGCAGTGACCGGGGTCCGTCCTTCTCGACGGGGGGGAGGGTGACTCTGCTGATGAGCAATGGAATCTAAACTGGCTCTGGGCGCAGGACAGGGAGACCTGGGCTGAGGGTAATGGTGGGAAGTCAAGTCACAGAAGTCAACACATTGAATGAAATTTCAGTGACGTGAAGGTTCAGCTGAAAATGTGAAATAGTAATAAAAGAATTAATTTGCATCCCTCTGTTCACAGCAGCACAATTTATAACAGCCAAGACATGGAAACAACCTAAGTGTCCATTGACAGATGACTGGATAAAGAAGTAGTGGTATGTGTATACAATGGAATACTACTCAGCCATGAAAAAGAGTGAAATAATGCCATTTGCACCAACGTGGATGGGCCTGGAGATGGTCATTCTAAGTGCAATCAGTAATGGGCTACTATGTAATAAGCTGGGCTGCTGGGTGGATCCCTCGTGGAGGGTTTGGGATGCTTATGACCTGAAAATAAGATCAACGGCAGGTGTTTTCAGCAGGAAGAGGAGGGGGTCCTCCAAGTCTCCCCTCTTTATGCTGTTGGTGTGCACACCGCTGGCACAGGAACTTGGCATTGGACCCAACTGAGTTCATTACACTGCAAACATTAATTTGCTTAGAGGAATGTGCCATCTCATTGTCCTGAGGGAAGGCTTTAAAGAGCAGACGTGTGTTCCAGGGTGCAATCTCCCTCCCTCTCTCTCCTCTCTGGCTCCGTCTTGGTGTCTCTCAGACACACTCACTGTGCAGAAACTTTGAAGAATAAGGAAAAGAGTGGTGTGTGTTTTGAAATTGTTGAGTTCGATCTCCCTAAACTGGAGATTTCTACTATCGGGCAGTTACAAAGGCCCACCCGGGGCCCAGGGGAAGGGGCAGAGGCCATCGCGTAACAGGAGGGCGGTAAAGGGTTTCACGCAGGTTTAAAACCACCAGGGTCAGACCTCTGGCCACAAGTCGGGTACCGTCCGCCCACATGAAGGCACATTCACCCTGTGAGCCCCCGGGGCGCCCCGACGTGCTCTGCCTCAGGTGAGGTTCCTTGGGTGAGTTTGTCCCTCCCTCACCTGACAGTGGCGCAGCCATCTCCTGCTGAAATGGGGGGATGGAGGCCACAGCGGCCACTGGTCCTCGTGGGCTCAGACCCACTGACCAGGGCCAGTCGTGTGAGTCTTCATGGCTCCTGGTGTGTAACAAATGATCGCAAATGAGCGGCTTTCACAGCACCAGTTGATAATCCCAGTTCTCCTGCGAGCTCTCCACTCCTGGAGGCCACCTGAGGACCCCTGCCAGGTGCTCACAGCCAGAGCCCATCCCTGTGACGTCCCTCTCTCCCCCCGCTTCTAAAGGGCTCGTGGGATGAGGTCAGGCCCACCCGGAGAACTGGCCTCTCCCGGGTCAGCTGTGGGAGACCTCCAGCACCACCGCAGAATGCCCTCGCAGCTGTCCCTCCGTTAGTTTGATGAAGCAGCCGGAGGAAGGCACGTGTCCACCAGGAGGTGCCTTAGAATCCTGCCCCCCACACCACCCCTGGTGGTCTGGGGGACCAGGGCCTTCATTCAGCTGTGCCCCGTTTGGTCCAAGGTGGCAGTGTTTTCACAGAGCAATCCCCTTAAAGACTCTGTGCCTCTCCTATGAGACCGGGGTGTGCCAGCCAAGCAGACGCCAGACCCGCCAGTCTCCTTCTGTCTCGCTCTGCCCATCGCAGCCTCAGCGCCGCCAGACTCACAGGTTCGCGGCTGAGGCCCTAAGGCTGTGTCCCAAGAGCTACGCCGTATCTCTCAAATTTTCTCACACGTTTTTTGACCCGTGGCATCTGCATTGCAAATCACATTTGTTTAGGTTTATTATCGACTTAATGGCACTTTATTTTATTGTTTATTTCACTTCCTTTGTGTCCCTAAGTGAAACTTGTGTCAAGTGGATTGGGCAATGTGGGATGTCTTTGACGAAGTTTTGGTTTTTTGGCCCTTCTCAATTTCGCTGACAATGTCTATATTTATGAACGCTGGCACTTCTCTCGCTGGGGCTTCCCTGTGGAACAGCTTTAACCTCCGCTCTCTGAGATGTTTTTATGTTCCTGTTAACACACTCATTAACCTGCTGGTACCTAACTGTTTCACAAGGTTTTGTTCTTCTGCTCATTGGCTGAGTTTCTTTTCTTTTATTTAATGTCTTTTTGGTGATTCTTGATTTTCCTCTTCCTATTTGGCTGCAGGAAGTTAGATGGAGGAGGGTGCTTGCGCGAATTTCGGCAGAATTATAGGAACAGCGGCCAGAGCTTCCGCTAACAGGGCTGCTGCTCCGGCGTGGGATGATGGGATGGGGCGTCCCAAACCCCGCACGCCGTCCCGAGAGTCCCTGGGTGGCAGGGCCTCTGGCTGTTAGAAGCCCCAGTCTCCTCTCTCGCGCCATCTCTGCTCTCAAAAGCGCGCTGCCAGCACCCGAGACACAGGCGCCCCGAGGGGGCGGGCAGGGGGAGTGGGGACCGAGCCAGCTCCACACACAATACCTGGCGGCCCATCCAGCTCTCCGGCGGACCTCGGCGCCCGCTTCCTCTGGCCCGGCGGTCAGACCTGGAACGGCCTGGGCTTCTCTCACGCCTGTGCACTCTGTGTGGTTCGTGCTGCTCCTCGAGTTTTCCTCGAGTTATCAGTTCTCTATTATCCTCGATCAGAAAGTCGTTTTCCTGAAACACACTCTGCAAAATAACAGTTACCGGTTACTTGGCAACAAAGACCGGCCTCCCATCTGTTCCTGTCCGGTCTGCGCTGTGTGCTGACTCACTGGCAAGGAAGAATGACGTCCTGGCGGGGCCCCAAGTCGGGCCTCCCCGCACCGAGTGGCCATGAACGCTGCCTCTTGTCCGCCCTGGAAGACAGACTCAGCCACGCATCTCAGCGACACCACTCATTCTATACGGGACGCACCGAGCACTCAGAGACCCTGGGGATGTCCAGAGGGTGCCCACTGGAAGGACAGAGTCTGTGGGTGACGCTGGGCTCCACTGGGCTTCGAAAGACAGAAAAGTGGGGCCATGGAGACACTGGGGAGCCAACCCTCCCCGAGAAGAAGCGGTGTGGGTTACCCACGAATGCCTCTTTCCACGTTTCCTTCACTTTAAGGTAGTCTCAGTTACCTCCATAGATTCCTTGTGCTGTAAATACAATGGTTACCATCACTGTATCATAAAGTAGTATCATTATTATCCATCGCATTCCCATCGTGTGAAGGTCTTCCATTGGGTTTAATACTCAGCCTGCAATTCGGAAACTGTTTAATCCTTCAAACACGAAAGGAGCGTTCGATGCCTACGAAGTTATCCCACTTCAGAGGTAAGTCCACTTGGCTCCACGTATATGATTAAACACCAGTAGCTCGAGCTCTCTTTGCTCTCGGTGGTCGGTTGCCGGGGGTTCCTATTTTGACTCGTATTAATGTCCAGCTGCCGCTGAAGAATGCGAGGAAGAGGGGCTCCAGGGTTTTCGGCCGGGAGTCACGATGCTTCCTGCGTCCGTCCGGCGTGCTTCTCGCCGGACGCACCATCTTGGCTCCCTGGCTGTGAACGTTTTCAGGAAGTGCTTTCTGGAACAACAAATACCTCTCTCCTCCATTATATAAAAAAATCCCCTGCATGTCGTGCCTACATTTTATCCCGGCTGCATTCAGGGGAAGACAAGGGAGCCTGTGCTGATCCGGCTCACACGCTAACCCCTGAAATTTGGGAACCGGCAGAAGGACGGTAATTCGACACCTTTCTTTCATAAATATTTAAGAGTGTGTGTCTGCAGCTCTCGCTTCGGAGGAGTTTTCTGAGGGGCAGGTAATCCTGGTTTTAAGGAAGGGTTGCCGCGTCTCCGCCCTCATCGTCCACGCTGTGCCTTCGGGGATTGGCCCCCGTGCCCACCGCGACTGGGCGCTCTCGCCCCGGGTTCCAGCGGCCAGCGCGCAGCCTGGACAGGCCAGGCGGCTTGTGCCCGGCATTGGGGCCATTAAAGGGGAGACGTGGCTCAGCCGAGGGCTCTCCCGTGTCACCCCCCCCAAGCGAGAGGCCGCTTTTCAGCTTCAAAACAGCACAAGCGAAGTAAGCAAAAGCCCTCTTTGCTGCCTCCGGGTTCAGATGACAGTTGGCTTTTGCCCGAGGCTGTTGAGCAATCTCGAATGACTTCTCTCCCCTGCACACTGGGGATGAACCACAAGTTATTATAACAAAGCTGGTCGTTGCTCCCGCCAGCGCGTTTCATCAGCTCCTGGCGTCTCCTTGCAGCCCGACACGCTCTGCCCAGCATGACGGATGGCCGGTGCTTAGCGAGCAGGCTCGTTCAGCGGAGCAGTTACTGGCAGGAGCTTTTCCTCTGGCTCCGGGGCTCGGCGTGCACAGACGCGGCCCTGCACGAATTCCCCAGCAGGGATGATAAGATGTATCTGGTCTGCCAGCATCAGGCAGCTTCATTAATTAGAACCACATTGCCTCTTATCGCAGAAGATGGATTTTTCTAGGAAGAATTACCCTTTGGCACTTAGGATGAGCATGAAGAAAAACAGATAAGACCACAGACATAACCTTCCTTAATTTAGGACGGCAAATATTTAAGCATAGGATTAAGGCTTCGGGAAAAGGAGACTTTGGCTACCATTCTGCAGAGGAGCTATCTGGGAGAGCTGCCTTCCCTTGTTTGGGCTGGCTCTGGGAGGTAGACATTTGGGGAGCTGTAACTTAACATGCATTGGTCCTACGGTTTAAAACACGCTGTTGAGTACTGCACTCTTTCGTGCTTAAAACAAAACAGTGCAAAATAAGCAAGAAGCAGGCTAGTAAAAAAGTTTACAAAGCCACCAAACACGGGGAAAAAAAAAATCTAGCAAAATCAAGTTGTTTCTTTGAAGGGGAGAACTGACACTTCCAGCGGGAAGAGCAGCGAGCGTCAGAGGCCGTCTGAGTTTTAAGGTGGCGTGAGGCTGAGTGGACCTGCTTCCTGGCCCTCGTGCAGAACTTCATGTGCGGGAATCCTGCGCCCAAAGCCACGACGAGAGTTGGCTGCCACGAACGTCCAAGCCCGTGGAGACGGTTCCAACACCTGCCAGGCAGTTTGCAGCCCCTGCTTCAGTCTCACCCCAGACCTCATTGGAGGACCAGCTTTGCATGTAAGCCAGTTGACTGAGAACCTAGCCCTCTCAGGGGGAAGGGAAGTCGCTGGAGGGTTTCGGGCAGAGACGGGGTGCGATTAGACGTGTGTTTTTGAAAGACTGTCCTTCACGATCCGGTGAAGCCAAGGGCTCCCTTCACTCCTCCCCGTTCTTTGCTGTCCTTCACCCGCCATTCGGGAGGGGAGCCCCTGGGGCTTCCTGCCCCACATCCTTGAGCGGATGGCAGTGTTGAGAGACGCCCCGTGGTCCCACCCTCATCCTTCAGGATGGAGAGTGAGAAAGCCATGAATGAACCTCAGAAGGAGCCAGAAAACCTCATTCTTCCCAGATGTTCTTCTCCTCAGGCCGTCGCACGGTGTCTCAAACACAGTTGCTCATTACCTGGAGCCTTGGAGAGTGGGGCTCCCCCTTCCCCCTCCAGATGTAACATTTCAGTGATTACTCACCAGTCGCCGCGCTGCCCCTGCAACGGCGAGTTCCTTCTCCACGACGTTCTCTCCCGTCAAGAGCCGTGCTGACAGGTGGCTGAGTCACACCTTCTTGGAGCGCGCCGGATGCCACACGCTCCATGGAGGGCGCGCGGAGGGAGGAGATGAGACGCTACACACTGGGTGACGGGTGATGAGATGATCACCCCTCGCTGACAGCACGCCTTGGAATCTGCGTTCCGGATGAAGAGAGCTGGCGAAAAGAATGCTGATGTGGGTGAACGGGGGTTTTAGTTCAGGGAAGTGGCTCAGCGGGGCACGCTGAGTCACCCTGACCGCACCCCAGTCTCCGCACGCCTCTCCCTCCCGGTGGCTTTCTCTCCCGGGATCTCAACTCTACGCCGTCACCGGAGTACGCTCCCAAAGACCACGCCACTATTTAAAAAAGGGGGGGAGGGGTCCATCGCCGAGCCCCTTGCTGCCTTGTTGGTCTCACCTCTCACTCCAATCGCGTGGTTTTCTGCGACGTATTTCAGAAACCTGGAGCTACGTATCGGCCCCCAGGCCCCACGCTGTTGGCTAAGTCCACGTTCCCTCGTCACTGGCCTCCACTAAGTACGCCAGCCACCACTTGATGCTGCAAACAAAACTCTGGGTGTCATTCTTAAATGACCCGCTCCCTTCTGCTGGTGGCCAGGCTCCGCGCTGCTCACATCCCCGTGCACACTCATGCCTGGACACGGGCGTTGCTCCACACTGGACCACGGCGCTCACCGCCTTTTCCACCAGGTCCCCCTGCAGCCCTCTGGGAGATCCAGCCACGGCACGCCCCCGCCTGCGACGTTCCATGGCTTCCCGCTGTTCTTATGATGAATTCTGCTTTCTACCGTGTCCTGTATCTCACGCTTGTGAGCACCCCCCGGCCCCCTCATACACCTCATTGCATCTCTTTCTCGCCTTCTTTCTGTCCCTGAAGCACCTTTTTAAGGTTTTGGCGGGAGTGGCAGCACCCTAGGGTTTGGAAGAACCGCATCTCTTGAAAAGCCTGCCCCTTCCTCCTCGTTACACAGCCGAGAAACACCCCGAGGAAGGGTAGCATTTGCGGTGCGTGTTCCACGGGTCTCCTGATCTCTGTCAGTGCTCCCCGCCCCCCCAACAGTTCCTCTTCCCAGGACGGGTCCCTACAGCCAAGGTCAGGCAGCAAGGCCCGAGGGCCTCCAAGCTTTTCAGCACCAAGAGGGTCTGGACCAGCAGCCGCAGGGTCCAGGCAAGGCACGTACGACAAAGCAAAGCCGTGGCAGAGCGGTGGAGGTGGGGGCTGTCACCCTGCCGGGGCGGGGCCACTGCTCAGTGCTGCCGGACGTCTGCGCTCAGCGCCCACCGCCGGGGAGCTCTCGACTTTCGATTAAATTCTCAATCTTAGTAAAGTGTAAGGTAAAGAAAGAGTGGGAGTGACCTCTGGGGCAGACGTCCGGGGGAGCGCGGAGGGCCACAGGGCAGCCAGGGGTGCGGGTGGAAGGAGAGCAGCCGAGAAGGGCTGAGCGTGGCGGGTACAGGACGGCGAGGGCCGGCAGGGCGGCGGAGCGGCAGAGGAGGCAGAGGGCTCGGACCGCGCACAGCGGAAGCGGGGCGGCCCCCGGAGACCCCTTGCTGTCAGCAGGATAAATCCACATTTCTTTCTCCTAAAAGTTCTAGCCTCTCCGGCGTCTCTGGCCGCCTAGCTTGGCCTCACGGCTCCGGGGGTCTGCCAGGCTGCGCCCGGGTTCGCGCCCTGAGGCTGCACGGGAGATGCTGGCGGCGGAGGCCGCCCCTGTCTCTGCGGTAACCGGTGTCCAACGTCTCAGAAGCTGTTGCTTTACATCTTTTTATTTCTTCTCTTTTCTATTTTTTTTAAAGTTGTTTCAGGCAGGAAGGCAAATCCAATCACTGCTGCTCAGTCTCAGCGTAAAGTGTCAGTCCCCCTGCTCACCCTCAACACACTCATCCTTGAGGGAAAACACAGATCACCCTGTAAAGTCCACCCTCTCCAGGTCCTCCCTGACGTTCCTGCAAGTCAGGCATCCCACGTGCGCGTCCCGCCTTCGCCGCTTGTCCCAGACGTCTCTTTCCTCTCTCTGTCCCCTTGGCACCACGCTCTGCGGTGCGCAGTCACGTTCACCTGTCCGTTTTCTTTTCGACTGTGTCCATTATCTTCAGTGAGGGGCACATCCATCTCTGTAACGTTCCTTCCGTTCACTAACAGAGTCCACATGCAAGGACTACTTGTGAAGGAATGGATAAGTAAATGGAAAGGAGCTCGGGGAATCGTAGCGAGTGGACATTGGCTGACGTCTGAGAGGACAGCTTGGAGGACGGTGTGGCGCTCTGGAGGCAGACCCCGAGCTGGGGGAGACGAGCTTGAGATCTGGGGGGAAACACCTGTGATGGGACGTCTCTCCTCGTGTGCCGTCTGACACCTCTGAAAGCAGAGAGGGCAGAAAGAATTGGGCAGAAAGAGCTTCCAGCTGAAACCCACCTTCTGAGAAGGCGTAAGGCTGACGGGGCTCCCCTGGCAAACCGTGCCGCTGAAGTGGTCCTGCGTCGGGCAGAACGGCCCCGTGTCCGACCCCACCGTGCTCAGGCACTGGCTGCGGCGGCCCAGGGGACAAGGGGCCCCCGCAGGAACACGGTTGCGAGTGTAGGGGTGCTGCTGCCCCTGCAGGTTGGCGGCCAGCTATGCTCCCGCAGCGGGCGTCCTGAGGCCCGGGCGGCGTGAATCTCTGGCTACCGCACATGGGTTGGGGTCGAGGGGTGAGCAGCCGGGGTGATGCAGAATGTTGCCACCATTTGCACATGCTAACTACTATCCAGAAATTAGACAACGCCCAGTTTCATGTGCACAGCCCAGGGGACTGCGTTCGCCGTCTTGTGGGAACCTGTAAGGAGAAGGAATCTGAAAGCAAACAGGTATGTGTACGCGTGACTGACACAGGACGCTGTGCACCAGAAACTGACACACTGTGACCAACCACACTTCAATTTAAAAAATATTTTTAAAAAGCCTGCAACCCACCCCCGAGACCGCTGAGAGAGGGCCCCGGTCGGCAGCTGGAGCTGGCCCGCAGGGGCACTCCTGGGCAGGCCTCTGTGCTGAGCACCGGGCCCTGGAGCTGGTCTGGGGCCTGCCCGGATTCCGGCTCTCTCTTCGCCTCCGACGGGCCAGGGCACAGAGCCGCGCGGCTTATCCAAGACCCGCTTTACGAGTCCCCTGCTTTGAGGGCTGGCAGGTGCAATTTGTTGCTTTCATTGTCTCGTAAAGATGCTAATCTCCCAGCCACAGCGAGGGGCCGCTTCTGTGGCCGGTTCTGCTTCGCTGCTCAACATGCTGAAGGGCTTTGCTGGATCCCCGTGCCACGCTTGCCAAGTGACGAGCTGCCCTCCTCAGCTGTCACGGAGGCGGTGGAGGGCCTGGGACTGAACAAGCAGCGCCTTGCCGCAGGCAGCCTCCCTGAGTCACGGGGTGAGGGCTGGGGGAGCGGCCAGGTGCCCCAGCATGCCGGGCCCGAGTTCCGCGCAAGGACACCGAGCCCGCAGGGCTGCCTCCGAGCTGCTGCCACCAGGCTGGGCTCTGCCCCCAACACACCGAGACCTGATCCAGAAAGTCTGTGGAAAACGGGCAAAGGGCACACGGAGGCTGGATTCGGGACCTTGCTGAGCGTGCATTTTCTTGCACTGAGGCCCGAAGCCAGCCCTGTCTTCCCCGCACACACGCTCTGCCGTCTTAGGTCCACCTGAAGGGAGTGGAGCTTCGGGACCACTTCAAAGCGCACTTAGCAAGACGTCACGCAGACATCACAGCCTGTTGCTAGACCTCAGCTGGTGGCAGAGGAGTCTGCTGATCTTCTCAAAGCTGGAGAATCTGCTCACTCCTTCAGGTCAGATGCGGCTTGAGGTTTCAGTTTTCCAAATGCAGAAACGGGGAGAAAGTGTTTGTTCGTTTATGTGCTAAGCACACGCACGCATCAGCTGGATGAAATCTCAGGAGCCAGGCTCCCAGCCTGGTCACGAACGGGGATCGGGGGACAAGGAAGCGGCAGTCGTTTGCAGGCTGGACGAGCCTGGGGGCCCTTTGCCGCCGTCTCCCGGCTCCTGTCTCTGGTGTCCTGGACGGTGGCACGCTCGTAGGTGACGCCTTGCAATGGCCAAGCAGAGTTCAGAGCGACTCTCCCTGAACCCATCACAGCGGTCCTTCCAGCCACGGGCGTTACGCAGCGGCAACGGCAGTTTCACAGGCTTCGCAGACGTGCCTGGAGAATGAGCCCGGCAGAGAGCAAGGGTAGGAGGGAGAGGATGGGGTGGAAAGGCCTTTCCTCATGGCATGGCCTCCTGGGGGCTCCAGGCCTGCCTCCAGCCTCCAGCCCCTTCGTGTTGGCAGAATTCAGCTCCTTGCGGCTGAAGGGCTGAGCGCCCTTTCCCTGCTGCCTGTCAGTGGGAGGTCGCTCTCAGCCTCTAGGAGCCCCTCCCATTCCTCATTTTGGGCCCCTTCTTCCAGGCTCACAGCCCTCAGTGGTGGGTGGGGCCCTCAGGTTCCAAACCTCTCTGGCCTCTCCTTCTGCTTTAGTTTCCAGGGAGCCGGAGGCAGTTTTCAGCTTGTAAGGGCTGGTGGGATTAGGGGAGGCCCACCCAGAAAATCCAGGATAATCTCCGATGTTAAGGAGCAGAACCTTAAATGCGATATCCTGCAGCACCTCCAAGGCGCTGGCGTGGGGGTGTGGGCACCTCTGGGGGCATCACTCTGTCCAGCATGAAGAGGGTGGGAGAGGAGGATGAGGGCACGCACAGTCTCAGGGGATAAAAACGGCATTTGGAGGAGAGAGTTAGAAATTCCGTTCCAGGTGACGTAACAAAGCCATCCGACAGGAGTTAGCCGTACAGTGTGAGCAGGAATATCCATTTTAATGCGTTCTCTTTCAGGACCGCAGGCCACACCATCCAAGTGTTCTGGGACGCCTGGATGGTTCGGCCCTGCCCTCCTGTCTCATGAACGCTGGCCCGTCTGCTGAGATGCATATACAGTGTCACTCCTGTGTGCCAGTGCGGAGATGATTTCGTTAAGGGCAGAACCTGGAAGGGCACGAGTGGAAATGCTGACTGCCAGTGAGAAGATGGGGTTTCGCCAGGGCGGTCTCGGTCACCCTGGTGTTTTGCAGTGCTCCGCCCGGGCACAGACTTCTGGGGTTGCCCTTACAGAAGGGGGGCCGCACAGACCTGGTCAGATCTAGGCTCTACAGCTACCCTGGGCAAGGTGCTCAGCCTGCTGTGGACTGTTTCCTCTGCCGTAACAAGGTGGGGCCTGGATTGAGAAGGTTTTTGTAAGTTCCCCATAAACGGTGGCTGTAATGATTGATAAATGTCTTTTTCACATTTTTCCCAGGTTCTCTCCTGGTTTGGTTTAACCAGGAGAGACATTAACTCCACATCCATGTGCATAGAATCAGCCTCTTCCTGGTAAAGAATTGTCCACGGTTCTGCAGCCAGTGGCCTCACGCACGAAGAAGACGCAGAAGGCTGGTCCTGCAGGAAGGATGAAAAGATCCGCAGAGCCCAGCCTGGAGGTGGAGAGACCCCGGAGCAGCGAGCTGGACCACATGAGACCGACAACATTCGACTGTCTTGACCTGCGTACATGGCCATTTTATAAGATTCAACACAACACACGGAACCTGTTCCAGGCGTCCTGAGGTCTGTCGCAGGAAACGAAACCAGTCTGCACAGGAGCTAAACAAAGTTCTCCCTCTCAGCAGAGATTCATTTGGAAGCATGCGGTGCAGGAAGGGTTCCAGGGCAGGTAAACTTCCTAAGGATAGAGTGAGCTGTTACCAGAATTGCTGAGTGACCTGGCAGAGACGTCCTAGAAGGGCGCGCGCCACGTGCATCCCAGCCTCAGGCATCGATTCATCCTCTCCTCTCTCCCTGAGGCTCAGGGTTTTAGATGTGAGTGGTGCAAACATTACTAAACATTCAAATCCAGTGAGTGTGAGATACGACTTGCATTACCGGTAGTTAATAGAGTGTGAAATGTTAATCAAATGTGTAGCTTTTTATTTCTCTCCTTTTCTATTTTCAAAATAGCCGAGAAAGGTTGTTATTCCAAAGTTAAAAATTAGTTTGAGCACACTGTGAAAAGTATATTCACAATTACTTTGTATTATTTCAGAATGCATCCTGTAATTGTTTAATTCTAAGAATTATTTTGTGGGTCGCTGACATCAAAGCATAGTGAATTATTTGATTTATTTAAATTTAAAAGTTGTTTTTTATGATTCTTCTAAAAAATACTCAGAAGTAGCATCATTTCCTGAAATTCCTCATCGGAATCATCTACGCTGACTGATCACGGCCCATTCTAGTTTAGTGAAGAATACTTTAATAAAAGTCATTGTACTGTTGGAATAAAATTCACGTAAGAATGACCACTTCTAACGATAAATAGAGAACTATTTTAACATCGTCTGAGAATAAATGGGTTTTAATTCTGACCTCTCGTTCATTCCTTCTGTCATTACTGTACTCGGCACTTCCCGGTTACGTGCCAGGCTGCACCACGGGGTGGGTGAAGGTCAAGCCAGGAGTGCGTGTCCTGCGGCCTTTTCCCACCTGCAGTCGACTCCATTCAGATCGTAATTTCCAGATTCACTGGTTGGCGAATTTATCAAACACTCAGTCCTTGATCAGATGACTTGAACCACTTGTGAATGTTGAGAACTGTCACTGTGTAGATTAACATGCTTTTAAAATAAAGTAAATCTCAATTCGAGTATATTTCAAATCTGCGTAGACTTTAGAAGAGACCATTAATGACACCAGAACAAGAAAATCCACCTGCAACAGACAGACAGACAGACCGACACCAAGTCACTTTGAAGTGTCCCTCACTCGCCCCGAGTAGCACATGAAGAAAGTGAAACGGAGTCGGAGCCCCGAGGACACGTGGATCGCACCAGCTCCGGAGCAAAGTCCGCGGATCAGCCTCGTTCCCCTTCTGAGCTGAAGTGAGGGGTGGTCTTGGGAGCCTGTGGGGAGAAAGGCAGGGAGAGCAATTAGGTTTCCAGCGAGTCAGCTTTCTTCTTCCGAGACCAGCCCCCAACTCTACCGGAGTCAAGCCAGCACCCGGCAGTGACCGACCTGCAGCACGCCCTGGAGACGTCCACGGCCAAGACTGGAGCGAGGCCCTCTGCATCCCGGGAAAACTGGCAGAGCAGGAATTTTATGAACCTGGGCCCTGGCGTCATCTCCCACTTTGGAAAAGCACTTAAACAGTTAACTGAGGCGCCTGTCTGTTGTGACGAGCAGCGACCCTCTGCAGAGATGTGTGCTCGACTGCACGTAGCCTTCACCAAGATTGCACGCACTCCGGCCGCCTCCCACCTCTCCGGAGCAGCCTCAGGGCTGTCTGGGAGGCGGGCTCCTGAGCTGTGGTTCTCAGTAAGGCCCTGCATAAAACTTAAACTCACAGTTGTGCTCTGTTTTCAAGAGGACAGTCCGCTCTCCACGCCTGCTGCATCCCCAGCCCTGCCCGTCAGGAAGACACTGCAACCCCTGAGAACCAACTCCAGGACCCCCAGCCCACCCCGAGGGCCTCTTCAACGGCAGCTGCAGCTCAGGGCCCAGTGGGTTCAGCTTTGAGCTCAGCCCTGCCTGCTGACCGATTCCAGCCTGTGGCCACACCGGCTCACAGGCGGCTTCCCACCAGAGCTGGGCACTGGGGGAGCCCAGGCTGGACCGGCCCAGCTGGCACACACTTGCTGGGGTCTGACGTCCATAGACGGGAGCCAGCGACGCTGGCTTCTCGAGCTCTCAAAGACTCGGCACCGGGCTCGGGGCCAGAGCGAATTCTGCTGTCAGTTCTTTTGTTTTTGTTTTTAAGCATGCAAGAGAAAAAAAATCATCAAGTAAAACACGAATGCAGGTGAAGTGGACAGGGTGTTATTCCTGGCTCTCTCCGGACACTTGTTCATTTTCCCACTGAACCTGTGACGAGTCGGGCCCAGGAGAAGGTGTCTGTGCAGTGGGACGCAGGGCGGTGCTGAGGGCGTATACGATGGAGGGGTCCGTGTCTCCCTGTCGGCCCGAGTCAGTGTCCTCCTGACGAGAGCCTTCTTTTGTGATAAGAAAGGCAGAAAGTGTTAGCGAATACTTCATAAAAACACTAAACCCTGGGAGGGAGAGGGTTCAACTTACACTGACGTCGCGGATGAAAAGAAAGTCGGACAAACATCTCGGGAGAGACCACTCAGGAACGTCTTCATCTTTTTTGTTCTTTCCCAACCAAGTCTGACAGTTCAGCAACACGAGCTTGGAAGGTCGATTAGACTTGAGAGGCCTCTCCCACAGACAGAGGGAGGTAAGATGCAGTGAGTTCTCGCGACTTCGTCCGTGACATTTGAGAAGCATCGGGTTGAGGGGCGACACACCCAGATTCCGGCACTTTCAGTGTCTGCATAGTCATTTGCGTCTGGATTTCCTTTTTCAAGTTAAAAAAGAATTAATTCAAGTACACAAATATCTGTGGACACCTGAGAGTGCCTGGGGGCGATGCAGACATGAACGCGACAGTGATTCTCTTCCCCAGCATTTAAAATGAAGCAGCTAAAGGAATCAGCCACCTGAAAGGAAAGATGGTCAGAGAATGAAAGGGAAAGAAAAGAAGAAAGGAAGGGGGGGAAGAAAGAGCAGCAGGAAGCAGGAAGAAGAAATTTGGTATGTTTGTTAGCGGACGGTGAGTCCCCTACGTTAGGAAGCCCACCAAAGCGTGGGTCCTCACAGCCAGCGGAGCAGAGGGACAAACTGACGGCCAGCTGAGGTGGCCGGTGGAGGCGGCGCTGGCCCCGGTCGGGCCACGTGGACTTTCCTGGCGGCTCCTGCCAGCAAGTCCTTGCTCTGGGTGTGCTGGGGCTGACCGCCCTTTTCTCCAGCCTTGCAGGTGGGCCTTTCTGGTTGTTGTCATGGCAACTGTCAGCTGTCTCGGCGCTGGGGGCGTGCCCCTTAGCAGCTGACACGTTACAGTGAGCGCGTAACGAGGCTCGAGGTCCACGGGCCGTCAGCTCCCCCACCACCTTGGGCTCTGCTGGTTCTAACAAGATCTTGCTTCTTCTCTGCAGCCGCCTCCTGAGACTTAGATCAGAGTAACCGGTTTCTATTTGAGGGAGGGGCAGGGGAATGACCCAGGGGGCGACAGCCGTGGTAGCAAGAAGGAAGGTTGCCTTTAATCAGATGTCTGCAATCTGGAGCACCCAGCATCCCCCAAACCAACTGCAAAGATCTTGCTCAGCCCCAAAAGCCTCCAAGGGAAATGGAGAATAATCTCAGTTAATCCTCGCGATAGGCGGTCAGAGGCACTGCCGCCCCCCGTGCGTGCAGACATGCCATTAAGGCTTGTCCTCATGATCAGCCACTTGAGCTGCCCTTCTGTGACTCAGGGAGCCTGGAGACGTTGTCAGCTTTTCCATAAACCAGAGGCTGGGGTTGTGGGCTGGGGGGTGCAGCACAGCGTCCTGCTCCGAGTCACGCTCCCTCCGTGTCCTCTCGGCTTGGCCCCGGGCTGTCCGGTTTCCCCGTGGACTGTGGTTGGCCTTGTGTGCTTGTTTGTGGGCTAGAACTGCACTGCCCTGAGCGAGTCACTGAAGCCTGCGTCTTCCCATCCCAGCATCTAGCACCCTGCCTGCTGCGCGCCGCTGCAGTGCGCCGTAACCTACCCGGGGCCGGAGCTGGCACTTGTCACATCCTGCGTCTACGTGGCTGTACTTTGCTCTGCGAAGTCACGGCCTTTTAAGGTTTCCGTTGTTAATTATTTCTATCCATTGAACTTTCTTTCATATACTTTGTTGACTGAAAAAAAAATGTGAGGGCTGTGAGTTCAGTGTTATTTGGTGCTTGCCGAGGATGGTTGTGCAGGAGACGGCCTCTCCGATGCCTCTGAGGGACGGCCCCACAGAGGTCGGGGAAGCGGCTGGTGTGCATGTGGTTTTGACAGAGGCGCCAGTGCAACCAGCGCTCCTCTCCGTGGAAGGTGGCTGCCAGTTACAAGGAGCAGGTGGCTCTGCTGATGGTTTCAGTGCTTTTCTAGGTGTGAGAAGATGCGGGACAGAAAGATCCACTGAAGCCTGGATCCCACTGCGGGCATAGTGGAGACAAGGGACAGTATGTCCACCCAGAGGGGCAGAGAGGAGAGGGCACTGCCATGGGCCATCTCACCAGGCTAACCCCTCTCCCTTTGTGCAGAAATACTCAGTTTCATATCTACAACCGATAGCTCCTCAAAACAGTTCAAGACCACGCTCAGCCCCGCCACACACAGAACAGGAAACCCAGCCCTCCTCAGCTGGGGGGATGTCCAGAGCCGCGGAAGCCCCACAGTGGAGGTCAGAGTCGTGAAGGATGACCATCCTGCAGGTGTCACTGCTGTAAACCTGTGAACTGCATTGCTCAACACCATCCAAAGCGAAGGGCTAGGGTTCATGTTTTTTTTCCATTAAATGTTCAAGGATTTAAAACTTAGCATGACAGTAGCTTTTATTCTCAATTCATTTTTTTACAGTAAATATTTTCGTTGGTCTCCATAATGATTGCAACGTTTCTATAACATATTCCTCTGATTTACTAAATTTTCACAGCCTAGTGTAACTAAACTATGTTTTCCACTTATGTGAGTAACACTATAGTAAATATGTTCAGACATTTTTGCTTTTATGGAATTACCACAGGATAAGTTAATTATAGAGGAAATTAACGTTGTTGAAAAGGATTAATGCAGCACAGTGGCTGGTACATGGATTTACCACAAATATAAAGAGTTAGCCACAAATACAAGCTCTTAATATTTTCCAGAAAGTTTGTGCTGCTATAATGCTTCCAACAGCTCATAAATTTACCAACTCTCCTAGTTTCAGTAATATTATATCGTTTTTAGTGGCCATAAAAGTTGCCTTTATCCTTCTTCAATCAGCTATTGCTTAGTACTGTCAGAAAGTAACCTTTTTGAAAGTTGTTTATTTTAGGCTTTTTTCTTTACAATTTGAATTGTTGAGGGTGTATTTATGGGAGCCCATTTAGACTTACCCTAATCCAGATTATCTATGTATAAACACTTTCTAATCTTGGATACATCCATTCTAAATAAATAAATCCTCGATATTGAATGAAATCGTTAGGCCATCCCACATATGTCGTAAGTGGTAACCCGTGGAGATCTACAAAATGAGAGTGACAGCAGAGACACTGTTTTAGAAACCATTTAATATACTTTCAACTGAGTTACCAAGAAGAAATTTAAATTAAAAAAAGAGTTGCGGTAGGCAGGAGTTCATGGGAAAGACGTTGAAATTACAATGAGAGCTGAGAAAACGTAATAGCAAACGGGAAGTAGAGTGATCACATAAACACTCACATTGCATCTCGGAGTCCAGAGATCGAAGTTGCACGGAGAAGCAGGTAAAGAGGCAACATAAAGAAGGTTGAAAGATACAAGGCTGATGAAACCGACAAAGGCTTGATGT